GAGAGGCCGGTCAAAGACAAAGAAGGCAAGCCAATCACCGAAATTCAACAACAGCGTAACAGATGGGTAGAATACTTCGAGGAACTCCTGAATAAGCCGGCTCCAATGAATCCACCGGACATCGAAGCAGCACACATAGATCTTCCTATAGATGTCAACCCACCAACGACGGAAGAAATTAGAATGGCCGTCAGACAAATCAAGAAAGGGAAAGCAGCAGGACCCGACAACATACCAGCTGAAGCATTGAAATCAGACATCGAAGTAACTAGAAAGATACTTTACCTTCTATTCAAAAAGATTTGGGAGGAGGAACAAGTGCCGATGGACTGGAAAGAGGGACACCTCATCAAGATTGCAAAGAAAGGATACCTGGGCGAATGTGAAAACTACAGAGGAATCACACTACTGTCAGTACCAGGAAAAGTCTTTGACATAGTTTTGCTGAACCGGATGAAAGGTGCAGTAGACGCCCAACTTCGAGATCAACAAGCTGGATTCCGTAAGGACAGGTCGTGCATAGACCGAATCACGATACTGCGGATCATGGTCGAACAGTCAATTGAGTGGAACTCGTCATTGTACACCAACTTCATTGATTATGAAAAGGCATTTGACAGTGTAGATGGGAGAACGTTATGGAAACTTCTTCGACACTACGGAGTTCCTGAGAAGATTGTCAATATTATCCGGAACTCATACGACGGACTACAGTGCAAAGTAGTGCATGGAGGACAGCTGACAGACGCATTCTAAGTAGGGACCGGAGTCAGACAAGGCTGTCTACTCTCTCCCTTCCTCTTTCTTCTCGTGGTCGACTGGATTATGAAGACCACGACATCTGAAGGAAAACACGGAATACAATGGACAGCTCAGAATCAATTAGACGATTAGGATTTCTCAGATGACCTAGCCCTCCTATCGCATACACATGAACAAATGCAGATAAAGACAACCAGTGTAGCAGCAGTCTCTGCATCAGTAGGCCTCAAAATACACAAGGGGAAAACCAACGTCCTCAAATTCAAAACTCAGAAATGCAATCCAATCACTCTTGATGGCGAAACTCTGGACGATGTAGAATCCTTCACATATCTGGGAAGCATCATCGATGAACAAGGAGGTTCAGATGCAGACGTAAAGGCGAGGATTGACAAAGCAACGACAGCATTCCTACAGTTGAAGAACATATGGAACTCAAAACAACTTTCAACCAATATCAAAGTGAGAATCTTCAATACCAACGTCAAGGCAGTCCTACTGTATGGAGCTGAAACTTGGAGAACTACAACAACCACCATCAAGAAGGTGCAAGTATTTATGAATGGTTGTCTACGCAAGATACTCAACATCCATTGGCCGGATACCATCAGCAACAGCCTTCTGTGGGAGAGAACAAACCAGCTTCCAGCTGAAGAGGAAATTAGGAAAAGACGATGGAAATGGATAGGACATACACTACGCAAATCGTCAAACTGCATCACGAGACAAGCCCTAACTTGGAATCCAGAAGGAAGGCGGAAAAGAGGAAGGCCAAAGAACACATTACGTCGGGAAATAGAAGCAGATATGAAAAGGATGAATAACAACTGGAAGGAGCTGGAAAGGATTGCCCAGGACAGGGTTGGATGGAGAATTCTGGTGAGCGGCCTATGCTCCTTTACGAGGAGTAACAGGCGTAAGTAATGTAAGTAAGTATGACCAGTTTATTGAAGGCACATAGGTTTGCAAACCGCTCACCATTTTCGTTCCATTCTCCCAGTCCGTGTCGTCCCATGATGTTCTCATATCCGGTGTTGTCCATTCCAATCTTGGCTTTGAAATCTCCCATCAGAATGGTCAGTTCCTTTGTTGGGCACTATTCGATGATTGACTGCAGCCTATTGTAGAATTGATCTTTAGCGTCTTCATTGTAGTCGTTGGTAGGCGCATAGCATTGGATGATGTTCACTGAAATGCCCTCTTTCTTTGTTTTGAACGAGGCTTTGATGATCCTTGGTCCATGAGATTCTCATCCTATAAGTGTCTTTTGTGCGTGTTTGGACAGCATCAATGCAACTCCTTGTGTATGCGGAGCATTTTTTCATCATGGCCGGAGTATAACAGAAGCTTCCGTGAAGCTAGTCGTTGTTGTCCGACTTGCGTCCAACGTGTTTCATTGGTCCTAAGCACCTCTAGGTTGTATCTACTCAATTCTGCATCAATTTGGAAGACTCTCCCGGTCTCCCACATTGTACGAGCATTCCATGTACCTAAATAAATGGTCGTTCTGGTTGTCAGAAGGGGCATCGGCCTTGTGAGTTTTGAAGGAACTCGGCTTACATCATAAGGCGTCATAACTCTTCTAACTGAAGACCTTCTGACTCCCAGGGCAGAGTTTAAAAGGTTTTTAACGAGTTAGTTTTCTACAGGATGGGGTCGTTAACCCCATGCCCAACCCTCCTCCTTTATCCGGGCTTGGGACCGACAGTAGCCTCCAGAGGGACTCCAGGCTTAGTTTATACTGTGCTAATCCAGTAATATTTAGATGGTGACTTTAGTAAATAGGATAACATGAGTCAGTTAAATGAGAATCATGTGAAAATTTCACGATGTGAAAATAAATGACTGGATGAATTGTGTGTATGTATGTGTAAGATTGAGTTATTAACAGTTGATAAAAGTGCAAGTTGGAGATTGAAAAACTGTTTCTGAATGATCAATGCGTATGTAAAGTGAAAATTACCAAATACATAATTGTATTGCTATAATAATCCACATTAATTTCGGTTAGAATAACGATGCATGTGAAATAAATAGGTTGGATAGAGAAAGGGTCTAATTACTTGTTAACGAATATTTGCCAAGTAGTTGCTAGCTGAATACCATCCTTTCTGTTCAGGCTGTTCTTGTTCGCACATATATACAGCGCTTCTGTTGTCAATGTTTCTGTGTGTGTTAAAACCTTTCTGTAGTATTTTGGTCTTCTCAAAATTGATCTTGTGTCCTGTTTCCAACGCATGTGACGCTATCGCAAACTTATTCTCAAGTTTCTTTAGATCAACAGAGGATTTGGGAACATTTTTCAAACACTGTTTATGTTCCTCCAACCTTACATTTAATTGTCTGGAAGTCTCTCCTACATAAGCTGCATTACAATCATGACATTTGATCTCATAGGTAATATTTTATTGTTCTTCTTTTACTATTCTCAATATTATTTATATTTAAGCCAGTACAATTGTAGCATTTTTCCTTAACTTATTTGTTATATGATGTATTTGTCTTCTGTTAAATAATACTTTTGTGGGAAAATGATATCTGAAATAATCTCGGTGATTGAAATTTAAAGTAATTCGAACGTTGAGATCGCTGAGATTATTTCAAATGTAATTTCCACATATAATGACTAATCTATACTCGGCGCCCAATTTTTGTCAAACTAACTATAATGACTGTCCTAATTTAACCTTTATCGACTGTAAGATTTTACTGGTTTCAGCCTTAAGTTTATTAAACATTGTCCTTATTTTCGTTTCCTTAATTAGTTCATATCGGTCCTCTTGTAGATGTTCCCTGGCTTTTTTCTCGTAGTCTGATTTGTCCATAATAACTGTCGTGTTCCCTTTTATTTATAATCCAAAATAAGACTTTTATTTATAGATCCGATGATTTGTTTATTAGCTGTTAATTCAAGAGTATATCTTACATAGATACCTTCCAAAAGCCAATACAATAATTAATTTCTAATAAGAAAACAGTTCTATTTATTTTAAGCGACGATTATGATCATTATAATCAATTAAATCAGTAATCTTACATAAAAATATATACATTCATTCTCATCTTATTATTTGAAAGAACAATCATCTATTCCATTCGAATTATACACAAGAACTCTTAAAACAAGTTCAATGAAATGCTAACTAAAGTTAACATAAAGCAAACAATCTATTTTACAGATTATATAGTATATTTTGATTCACACTCTCCAATAAACACTAAACATATTTGCATAGTATTATTAAATGTTTAGAATTCTTTGATAGTAACTTTATTCTGAATAGGTAATCAAAAACTCAGTTACTAAAGAACATAAACATGATATTACCACTTCTCAACAATTATCATTTCCTGAAACGCATAAAATCACATGAAATAATAGATGTTAAAATTATTATTATTATTATTATTATCAGTATTATTATCACCCTGTAAAAATAAGTATATATATTTGCGATTGTACAGCTTTGAAAATGAATTCGCCGAAAAGACAACTCTTCGCTGAACTAATCTTTCTTTCTTATTTAATGTCATAATGGGTGTATTCCGTTTGTTAAAATAATCGTCTTCGTACAAAAGTTGTAAAGACAATAAAATATATGAAACAAGTAATCATCACTACAGTTTTGAGAATTTTACCACAATTTGTTAAAATGTAAAGTGAGAAATGTGTAACAAAATTCTTAATTTCAGCAGTCAATATTAAAAGAATACAAAACAAAAGTTTATAAAGGAAATGAATAGATTACATTGAAATATCACAAAAATTTTAATAATGATATGTACATTATATTACATGATGTGAAATATTTAACAAAAGTTTATTACAGATTGAATTGTACGATTAGAAGAAATCATTTAGATATTACTTAAGCGTTGGTGTTTCCAAGATACTTTACTTTAACGATAAAAGATAAACAGGTTCTATTATTATCATTATTATTATTATTATTATTATTATTATTATTATTATTATTATTATTATTATTATTATTATTATTATTATTATTATTATTATTAATATCATTTTACATGTGCTTGTAACAAAAAACAAAGATATTTTTCTATTTATTCTCAACCTGTGAATGAAATGGCAATATATAATTAATCGTGTTATTGTGTGTTATTTGTCATGTAATTGACAATTTACTCATAACATTAAATTAATAGAAATAATTAACCATTAAGTAAGTTCAAAAGCAGTGAAATAGATGCTTTAGTAAATACATTTTAGTGAAAAAATGTACTTGTTGAATGACCACTGGTAAAAATTTTCACTGTCAGTAAATGTATCAGGGTTATCGACAAACTTCGGTATCAAATGTTTCTTATATCCTAATTTTGTTTATTCTCTTTCTTTCAAGTGTACAGAAAAGTTTCCAAATCTTTTGAAAAAAAAGATGAACTCATTCTCGATAAACACGCCTCGTTTGAATTTGAAAATCAATGTGATTGTATAAAATTATTAAAATCACGGTTCAAATATTGAACTGTTTAACAAAATCATATCAATGTGGTTTATTTCAAATGAGTAACATTAATACAATGTATTTTTGCAAACATTCCAAAGTGTTGATAAAAGCATGTTCAATATACAAATCATTTGAAATTATCACATTGTTCCTTTCTAGTCACATTGATAAATCCTCATGAACAGTTTGGATCTATCGGGACAAACAACTGAATAGGACTAGTAGTTAATTTGTATTTCAATAGAGGTATAACGTTTAACAATATCAGAATTGTACAAAAGCAGTGCCAAACGTTTGGAAATCCTTCTATTAACTCAGATTTTAATCTAATAAACTTGCTCGATAGAATTCGGTCAGGATGAAGAAGTACATATTAATTAATACTTAGTTATAAGAACCACTGTACGTACCTCAGTCTTAAAGAAAGTCAATCGTGATACAGATAACTCATTATTAACATTTCTGACTGTAATAATGTTTAACACGTCTAAATTTTATTGAGTACAAAAATTCCTTCCGACTAACGACACACCATACTGATAAGCGAAAAGTAGTATATATGTATATATATATATGTACTACTACCACTGTCGTGTATGTTACTTATGCTTACAGATATAAGTTGTATGTCTCAACATTCGGAAGTGAAATGCCTGAGAGCAGAACGTTGAGGAAATTGAAATGAAAAGAAGAGTGAAGAAAACTAAAAGCAATCAGAATAATAGCAGGAATGAATGAACGATGAATTTTATAAGAGACGACTTATGGTAGATGTGCATATGATGTATTTAATGAATGATTTTCATGTTTTTGCTAGGTAACTGTGTAATTGTGCATTAAACAATAAATCTGCTTTCCCTACCAAATCTCGCTCGCTACTGTGCTACCAATACTACTCTATAGTAACCAATCACTTAAAATATGTATGAACATCAGTGCAATACATGGAGGAAGCAAACATGTATTTATCACACTAATTTTTTTGAAATCAGACAGTCAAATAAACACACATTACTTCTTAGTGATACTCAAGAACTACCTATCTATAAAGTATTTCTATGATCTTTAACTTCAGAAATAAATTAAATTAGCTTTTTAATATTCATAGTTTCCTGTGAGAATACAGAATGACAATTCTCACTACTTCTAGAAAAAACACAAGCCATCTGAAAAACACGTATTTAACAATATAGTCAGTAACTCAATTGTCTCTTTTAATCTATCCTCCAGTTTGTTCTTACTTCGATCAATAAATGCCTAATTTTTTCATATGCTTACAACCACTTTATTTTTTATATGAAGATTTGATTTTCTTTCCAATGTTTCTTTTTTGATTTTCATATATTAATTTAAATGAAGAAATAGGCTGTTAATTTAACAGAGATTCAAATGTGATATAATAAAAATTTTCCCAAACAACAAAAAATATCATGTTTCTGAAAGCTTAGATACAACCTACTTTTATATCAAATTAATTCTGTTTGTTAGGATGTATATTAATGGAAATCCAATAAAGTAGGCCATTGTACATTGATTTCGACTGAGTTACATTATACTTCAAGCTGTTCAATCCATCGCTTTTAAATCGACGCTCTGAAGTATTCAACAACTTGAAACTAGATGCATTTGAATGTTGGAACATTCGTTAAAAACAAAAAAAGTAAGTTGATTACTTCAGTTACCATGTTTAGATTTTAATAGTTGAAAACTACATATAATAAATCTTTAAATCTTAGTCATTACAGTAACCATAGATAATTAATTTCATACACATAGTTCACTTTATTATTTTAAAGGGAGTAAGAACAAAGGTTGGTGCAGAATAATATGAATTCATTTTATTTCGTTAGATTCTCATCAGCTGCTTACAACCTAAAATATTTGAAATTCAACGTTATTATAGATATTGACATACTTATACAACAGAGGGCGATGAAGGATGAATATATGTAACATAATGTGGTAAAGATTTCGTTAGAGTGATTGAGGTCATAAAATTTTTTGTTTCGAATATATAGAGTTTGGGAGGGAAGGTTCCAGAAAATTGAAATAGTGATTAGAAATCATGGAATTAAAACACATTAGACGATTATGTAATGAAGTAACTGAAAATAGATTAATGTTAATAAAGAGAGATATGAATTGAAATTGGTCAGTTATGAATGATGTAATTATAAAATTCAGAAAGTGTTGAAATGACGTAATAAAAAATGCATAAAATAAAAGGGGGTGGGGTGAATGTTACCAGGGCAAAGAAAGATTTATTATTGTTTCTTTTTGTATACAAAGATCTGGTTTTAAACGTTTGATTGCTATTGCTTCGGCGAATTTCAAAAGGTTTGAATTTGATTGTTTGTTGATCACCCTGAAGGACTTCAGTATATCGACTTCGTGTCCTGTGTCAAGGTGATGTCTTGCGACAGCGCTGCTAAACACATGCCGAAAGAATCGACACAGAAACTCAATTTGAGAATTTATTTGATCAAATTAAAGATTTCCACCCAGTTAGTGAAGAAAAGAAAGGCTGGTTTAAATCTAAACTAGTCGATATCGCGAACCAATACCTCGTCTCACCCACACCGCAATCTAAGCTTTTATCCAAAGAACACCTAACAGCATTACGAAATATTAAACGAAATGATGATATAATGATATTACGGTCAGATAAATGTTCAAGTGTTGTCCTAATGAACACAGCAGATTATGTCTCTAAGATGAATTCAATTTTGAGTGACCACACGAGATTCAAGTTGGAAAAAAGTAACAAAGACTTAACTGGCTCCACCGAGAAAAGAATCACGAAAGTACTCAGAGACCTACTGAAAAAGAAGAAGATCGATAATTCTACTTACAATAACCTACGACCTCGTGGGTCTCGTTTGCCCCACATGTATGGTTTACCGAAAATACATAAACAAGATAATCCTCTTTGACCTATTCTGTCAATGATCAATTCACCTTACCACAAAGTTGCAAGATGGCTGGCAGATAAATTAGAACCACTTCGTCAACGACTGGCCACTTATACACTAAATGACTCATTTGTATTTGCTGATAGCATGAATCACATGAATATTGCTGGTCAGTTTATGGTTTTGTTTGATGTGACACCATTGTTTACAAAAATACCACTTCTTGAAACCATAGTTAACCAAAAATGCATCATTAAGTTAGAAGAAAACAAATAATCCTAGAATCATACTACTCAATTCATCATATAACAAAATATGAGTTGACTTTACTTCTAAAACTAAGCTCTACAACATTCTATTCTCCCATTTTACATGCATTGACAGGTATTTCTCTGTTTCAAAATAAATAGGTTAATGCCAAGTAGGATTAATTCAAACGGAAGATGTCGAATAAGGTATATACCTTAGGTAATTTAATACGTAATCATAGCAAACACGGATGCAGTTAGGAAACAAACACAATGAAGTTAAATTGTAATCCAATGAACCATAATAATATTATCAGATAAACATTAACTATCCAACTCAACAGATGAGGACTTGGATCGAGTAAGAAACTATGAAGCATTTAGGAGAAAAAATGCAAGGATTGTATCTGTGTTACTGTGATTGATTACAAATCATATCAGTCACATATTGTCTTCAGTAATCAATGCTTTTTTAACCTAAAAGAATTCATTCACCATGTTTGAAACTCTATATCAGATTGAATATAATGGTTCTATGAATTCTAGATAAAAGGCTAATTTCAAAAACTTTAAGCTAAAAACAATTATCTCTGACAATAAACTAATGATAATATCAAACATAATTGGTTATGATTAATCTTGTTGATGAATGATAGTTAGTAGAGCGTCTAATGAATATCCATGATCTTGATAAATCCAATTTGTTAAATTCGATGTTTTCTTACGATTTCAATTATCACATAATTATTAGTTTATATGAAAAATATTATGCCTATTTTAACTATATGACTCAGAGAACATGACAATGTCAGCAACAAAAAAAATCGATTATATATATATATATATACCCAAAAATAAAATTTATTAACAACACACCGATCTGGATTCTCTTCATTTAATTCATCTGTCTTATGACTCATTGCATAATAACGACCAATCAATAAATTGATTCGACTTAAATTATAACCAGATTGTTCAACACGTAATAAAAGATCATCATCTTCACCACCCCATCCTTCATATAAATTTGAAAAACCATTAATTTTAAGATATTGATCACGAGTGAATGTAACAACACCACCAAAAAATCTTTGATAAATTAATCTGTAAATATAAACATAAATAATTCATAACTCATAAAAATGAAAACTTAAAATAAAAATAGTAAATTTACATTTTATGAGTTAGATTTTATGCATTTTAACAGTGAAATTAACATATATCTTTAAATTGTTGTATAAACCTCCTCTTGTAGCTCATCTAGGGTTATGATTAATTCTAAGCACAGATAAGCAAGGAGAATTAGTTTTGTGATCAGCAACTCTACCCCGTAGAAAACAACCATACCAATACACTTCTAACTAAAGAAAACAATTTGTACAATTCAACCTCTAACCTAGAAGTTGAAGGATTTTCATTTACAAAAATTATAACATCTCATGGTGAAAATCGAAATTCTTTGGAAATCACAAGGCTGTTCACCTTTCTTCTAAACAAAGTAACGATTAACATCGGTAAATGCAATGTCCGGATAATATAGGAACCTGGGGTGGTGGTGGTCAAATAGCTGTGTAAATGAAAAGATACAACTTAACGATTCTCTCAATAAGTGAAAACTATTGGACACAAACTGGCTAGAATAGATTATATTCAGGAGAGATGCTGTAGTACACGGGCACACACAGAAGCAAACAAGAGAGTGAAGAGGAGCATTAGAGCTAACAAGTAGAAGTATATGGAAGAGCAAGCATTGACAGCTTAAAACACTGCAAGAGAAGGAAATATGAAAGAACTATGTCAGACAACGAAGAAACTAGTAGGAAAATTTAGTAAACCAAAAAGATCGGTAAAAGACAAAGAAGTCAAGACAATCACTGAGATTGAAAAGCAATTGGACAGGTGAGCAGAGCAATTTGCAGAACTCTTAAAAAGATCAGCACTACTGAACCTATTGAACATCGAAGCAGAACATACAGACCTTCTTATAGGTGTCACTCCACCAACGATCGAAGAAATCAGGATGGCTATGAGACAAATCAAGAATGGGAAAGCAACGGGATCAGATGACATGCCAGATAAAGCACTGAAGTCAGACACAGGGGTAACTGCAAACATGCTTCACTTTCTAATCAAGAAGACTTGGTAGGAAGAAGAAGTACCGACAGATTGGAAAGAAGAATAACAGGCATGTTATTATACTGAAAAAAGGAGATCACAGAAAGTGTGAGAAATACAGAGGGATCACACCATTATCGGTATAAGGACGAGTTTCCAACAGAGATCAATAGAGTGAATTCCGAAGGGATCGATCGTGTACATACCGAATCACAACACTACGGATGACTGTTGAACAATCAGTTGAGTGGTGTTTGTCACTATACTTCGGCTCTCTTGACTACGAGAAAGCGTTTGACTGTGTGTATAGGAGAATTCTATGGACCCTTACTCGACACTGTGGTGTACATAAGAACATTGTAGATATCATCGGGAATTCGCGCGACAGACTACACTGCGAAGTGGTGCATCTAGGACAACCGACAGATGCATTGGAATTGAGGACTGGTGTCAGACGAAGCTGTCTGCTCTCCCCCTTTCTTTTTCTTCTGGTGGTTGATTGAACTATGAAGACTTGCACATTTCAGCTGAAGCACGGAATACAATGATCAACTTGGATGAATCTAGATGAATGGACTTGACAGTTGATCCAATTTTTCTATCCGAAACACACCAACAAATGCAGGTTAAGACAACTAGTGTAGCGGCAGCTTCTGTAGCAGTAGGCCTCAGCATAATCGAAGGAATAAAAGAGTTCCTCAAACCCACCACAGAGGACACAAATTCAGTCACACATGATGGAAAAGCTCTGACATATGTGGAATCTTTCACGTATCTGGTCAACAGCATAATCCATGAAGGAGGAAGATCGGATGCAGGCGTAAAGACGAGGATTGGCAAATCAATGGCCAATGGTGCATGGAGGACAGCTGACTGATGCATTGCAAGTGAGGACTGTATTCTAACACGACTAACTACGCTCTCCCTTTCTCCATCTTCTTGTGGTCGACTGGACTACGAAGACCTTTATATTTCAGAGGAAACCCGGATACAATGGACAACTTGGATGAGACTAGACGATTTGGACTTGACAGATTATTCGACTCTTCTATCCCAAACACACCAAGAACTACAGGTGAAGACTGCCAGTGTAGCACCAACCTCTATAGCAGTAGGCCTCAGCATACACAAGGGAAAATGAAAGATCCTCAAATACGAAACTGAGAACACTAACTCAATCATACTTGATGGGGAAGCTCTGAAAGAGGTGTAAACTTTCACGTCCCTGGTCAGCATCATTATCAATGAAACAGAAGGATCCGATGCTAATGTAAGGGCACGGATCGGCAAAGCATCTATAGCTTCACTACAATCAAAGAACATGTGCAACTCAAACAACTGTCAGCCAACAGGGAAGTCTCACTCCAATACATACGTCATGTCAGTTCTATTGTGCGGAGCTGACATTTGGAGAACTAATACAACCATCTGATCAATCCAGTTGCCAAGTCAGATCTGTTTTACAAACTGACACTGATACAGATTTTTTTCAAATTATAAAGGTAGTCACTAAATAAACATTTAAATGACTGTTATCATGTTTATTATGTGTCGATTTCTTTCAACTGAGGAATATAATGAGACATATTGACTTCTCAGTCTTGCTGGTCGATTTCTTTCTCGACTGATGTGGAGAATGGTAGACTATTGAATACCCTCATTACATAGTTTAATGATATAAAGCAAATGAATGAAGATAAATCAAAACTAAAAGCAATTGTTCAGCCAAGAATTATAGTTTTTTCAGTGAGGTAACATAAAGAAGTCTTAATAAATTTGGAGCATGAATAACAGTGAAATACAGTAAGTGAGTTTAATCCCATTTGGAACTCATCAACAGTATATAACTGGATCGTGATGTTCATCCAAATCCTTAAAATCAAATTCATTTTATTTATTTACTTATTTGAACACATAAATATTGATACAAAGGAGCACCAAATACATATGTGCTACACAAGAACAATGAGAATGTGAAGAAATGGAAAATGTAAAGTGCGTGTAAGAAAAAAGAAGCAGCTTTCTTTATGTCTAACAGAACTATATCTTTAGCATAAATTGTACCTAAATGGCAATAGTAGTATATGTTGCTTTAGCAATATCACCAGAGCTAATGAACTGAAATTATAGCTTTATTGAGATGATATACTGATAAAATAACATGGAAGTCAGTAGCAAATAGTTTGATTGAAAGTGTTGTCGTTAAATTTATCTGTATCACTACATGATTTACACAAGAAAGAATTTTACTAATCACTTTATATGAGATGCTTAAACACTAAGAAAGCGGCATGAATTCCTTCCTTTAAGAATTAACTATATACATATTTGAACTTTTATACTTGGCTTTCTTTGGAGCCTGAGTCCCAAAATCTCAAATCATTTTTATATGATTTATCCTTTATATTATTACTGATACTTTTACTACTTCTAATACACTGAGACTTGTCTTGATAATTTATTTCGCTGTGCTAAATTGCTATGTCACATTGAACTGATGCACATATCTGTCAGGTTTTATGTTGAAAATGATTACTGACTAATTGAATTTTCACACACATGCCATCTTGTTTAGAAAATGATCAGTAAATCGTGTCCTAAAAATCAGCCAAATAAACAATATAGCTTATTAATCTTTTATTGTAAAACAACCACTGTTGACTTTAACTAGGAAATACGCAAATGTTATTCATTATATATTTCTGAGCTTCCTTACATCACGTTGAGCTGAATAAAAGCCTTATTGTTTAAAAGCGACAGGTCGGGTAGAAATGAAAATGTGGACAAGGGATTAATTGAGTAACAAGAGTAAATATATTTAGTTAACTGTAAACGTGAATAGTGAACAGCAGCTAACAGTGTGCCAGAAAGTAGATTCTGTAAGTTGCGTGGAGTGTAGCGTACATCCTGATTGATCAATCAGTTTTATACAATCCAATATTTGTATAAGTCTAACTGCATCCCATCCATCAATTTGCAATGTAGCAACGTTTCTAACTGATTTGACTTTGAATTCATCACGTCTAAAAGTTTAATGATGACCGAAGTTAATCAGAACTCTTATTTGGTGCTTTTAGCCTTACTATTATACAAATGACCTATCTGACATAGCGGAACGTCAAATATCAAGTGTTTCAGGCATTGTAGATCGATTTAGCCGTCAGAATAGACGAACTTGACTATAATTATCAACGTAGTTTCGAGTGAATACAACCTAAAACCAATGATTTCTAATTATCTTCAACCATCTGAAACGCATGCATCAGTATTTTTTAAATTTCACACATGTTCTTACAACAGAATATTGAAAAGAAATTATTCAAAATAGAACTAACTTGTAGTTAAAAGTACTTAATGAAGCTGACAAATGTGTTGGATTTGGTCCACATGTATAAATAATTCGATCATCTTCTGGTAGTTTATCTACATCATGTAAAATGAAACAGTCATATTCTTTGAATTTGGAAACTTCAAGAAAACCAGCATTTAATAAAGCACCACGATTAAATTTCGTTTCACCGGTCTGAAAAGTCAATAATATGTATGTCTTTAGTTTAAAGATTGTTAGTAACTAACAGACAAAGGAATTATAATGTAGCTTTTGAAAAGCTGTTCAGAAAATTACTTGATCTAGGCACTTATGATCAGATAAACAATGAGTCCCTGTATATTTTTGAAACGGGACATAGGCTTTCTGAGTTGATAAATCATTTGTAACAGACTTACTGATATATTTTATTAATATCTAAACTGATTGGTGATTGAATACTTTTCTCAACTTTTGAAAGAAAACTGGTTTCATGTCTAACAACCAAAGTAGCTCGTACGTTACAAAATAATAAAGTTCATTTAACTTTAGTGATTTAACTAAAATCTAGAAAATGAATATATTTGCACTCAGTAAGAACGACAATACTTGCAAAATACAGTGAATTCAATGTATTCCATTGCTTTCTATTTAACTATATGTAGGTTAATATTATTTAATTATTTATAATCATTAACGAAATTTTCAATCTGATAAATGAATTGTCAATAATGAATGGATTATTTTAAATATTGAAAGATTACGATCTAAACGTTCCAACTTTTTACTCCGAAAAGAAACAGGTTTTTTTTCATCTGTTACCAAATCATGAATAAAATTAACCAGACTAAGAACAGAATTAAAAAACGTATTCTCCACTGAGAAACCAATCTCATTGTACACAACATGATACTCAGTAACGCAAACGAAAGAAGGCAAGTATCGAATATCTGCCACCTTTAAATGAATATAACGTATATGCTCATACAAAAGCATAAACGTCGGATGAACATAAAAGCAGGGCTCAACTCGTCTTACTGAACATATTCCTGGTAATCTTATCCTTCAAGGACAAGACAGTTTTCATAGTTAGATAGCATATCACCTTCAAGACACGGAGCATAACGTTGACGAAATTAATGTATTATAGTAAAATTCACGGAGGCCATAGCAATCAGTTGGTTTAATTCTGGCCTCTGTATTATTAAAAGTCAGTGGTTAACTTTCAACTGTTTTAATAAAAGAATCGAAATAAGTATTTCGCCACTTATTTCCCGCTTTTAACTGATTGTAATCATAAACGAGTGATGTACACTTCCATGAACAAATCCTTCTCGTTGTACATAATACTGTCTCAATTATTCTAGAACTGTCACTTTAAATAATGATGAAAAACCTGTTGTGAAAGTTTTATTCTTAATTATTTTTTTACATTTAGAATAATCTATTCAATTAAAGACAATTCATTTATGAGATTGAGCACTTTGTTAATGATTATAAATAATTATATAATATTAACCTTTTTATAGTTAAATAGTAAGTTAGTCAGTCAGTCAGCTACAACGTAGGACCAGGCACATATGTGCATCGGTCCAGGTTGCCATACCTCATTAGCACAGCAAGATGAACAGCGGATTCATAGGAGTGGTTAGGTCAAAGGTGGTAATATATAGGAGAAAGATTGCGTATAAGGATATAGTATAGGAAGAAAGAATTAGTTCGTAGAAAGAAAGATATGAAGTGGTTTTAATCTCTTAGTTTAAGGGAAGACAGGGAGTGTATACACCGACGCCATTGTGATCGATTCTGAGCCATGTCACCAAGAGTCTCCAACCATTGGTTACGAAAGTCACGCGGACCCCAACCAAGTAGTCTGCATCTACCAACATGGCTCAGACTAGAAGTTAGTGACTTCAGACACTGATGCCACGTTTTGGTTTGGCCGCCCCTAACTTTCTTCCAACCATCCCCTACACCGGTTAGCATTGCATGTCGTGGTAATCGGTGTTCAGGCATACGTAATACGTGGCCCAACCATCTCAGTCGATGAAGATTAATAACGTCATCAACTGATTTACCATCATTCCCTAATACCCTGCGTCTAACCTCACTATTACTTACCTGGTGATCCCAGCAGATGCCAGCAATATTTCTAAGGCATCTGTGGTCAAATACTAATAGCTTACGGGTGTCTTCTACTCTTAAGGGCCATGTTTCGCTGCCGTAAATTAAAACAGAACGAACTGCCGCGCAGTATACTCGTCCTTTTATTGATAGACGGATATCTCGCCTCCGCCAAAGGTGACGTAAGTTGGCAAAAGCCAAACGAGCTTTTCGAATCCGTGCTGAGATTTTGTCAGACACCAATCCATTAGGGCTGATCAGACTTCCAAGATAAGTGAAGTTGTCAACGCGTTCGACTACTTCACTCCCTATCCTTAGTTCAGGTGTTGACGCGGATTGGTCCTGAAGCAACAACTTGCATTTCGAGGGAGAGAAGCGCATTCCAAACATTCTGGCATTGTTGCTTAGTGCTACCAAAAGACTCTGCATTTTGTCAGCGTCTTCACCAAACAGGACTATATCATCTGCGTATTCTAAGTCGATAAGTGGACCTCCTGGAAGGAGATCAATACCCGAGAATTCAGTCGACGAGAGTGTTATTTCCATCAATAGGTCTATGATGAAGTTAAACAAAAATGGAGAAAGTGGGCAGCCTTGACGGACACCACTTGAGGTTGCAAAAGTAGATGACAGTTCGCCATAGGAATAGTAATAATAATAGTAATAATAGTAATAGTAAGCAATGGAATACATTGAATTCACTATATTTTATGGGTCTTACCATTCTTATTTTGTTCGAATATTGTACGACAAATAAATTGTGTGTAAATATACTGTTGACTTAATTTTGTATAATATGTAGATTTTTTTAGTGGCCCTTAATCTGTTGACTCCAGGTTGATCATGTAAATGATTGTTATCGAAACAATACATATCGCCAATCCCTGTATATTATTATCGACTTCACTCGCGTTATTGAATAACAGAATTAAATAAGTAAAATACGAGAATGGATTTTGATTATGTATATTTCATGTACTCAGTGATTTGAATAGGTAATCAGGGAGATGAAAAGAAGAACGAAGAAGATTGAAGAAGGCTTGTGAGCCAACTCAACAGAGTGTAAATCAATATTTATTGTCAGAACAAAAATAAGCTACAGACATATGATGAGTGGGATAAGCAATCAACACATATACGATCACGTAAAAACAGTTAGAGTTAATAAGCGAATAATTAACGAGGTCAAAGTATGACTCAAGAAGAATGAATAAATTGGCCTGTCCAGAAGCTAGAATAAGCTATGTGGGCTTAACATAGCGGCCGACACTACAATTTGTAAGGACATGTGTATCATTTAGAAGTTCGAAACAAATAATCCTAAGTTATAAGCTTGTCCATGGACTAGTTTTCATATAGAATTCGCTTTATTTGAAATCTTGTTATCAAAAGTACTTGTTTAGACTTTGAAATACCTTGACAATGAAAACATAAATAATATGGACGCCTTTCATGTATTAAACAAAACTCAAAAGACAGATCCTATAAAATATAGTATCTGAGTCTTTACCACTTACCTGTTCAATAATAAAAATGGTATATGGTATTCTTTGATGTCGTAAAAATCCATGTAAATGATCTGTTAACACTCGTAAATGTTGTTCTCTTTTACGATAAGGAATAATTATAGCCGATGACAGGCTAGGTAAACAACCTAATGGAGACCATATAATTGGTGTAGTATAATTGATAGTGTGATTTTTCTTATCAATAATATATCTTAAACTATTACTTGATACAGCATAACTATTTATTTTTGTGGCATTATACTTAGTGTAAAATGATCCAAATATTTGTTGTGGAATGAAATTTTTCAGTGACGAATTCGGTGAAATAAAATCTATTGATTGAGATAATGTATATTTATATTGTATCTGTGGCCAAAATAATGCTTTATTAGGCGTTTTCACGTGACCAACTGAAATATTAAAAAAATACAAAGTGAAATCGAAAAAACTTTTATTTTTTCGAAAATTTAAACTTCAATTTTAGATGTTTGTCATTTGAAAAATTTATTCAACATGAATTGATCATGTCAACTAAGAAGAAAACACTACCCAATGTTCACTTGCATAAACTACCATTCCAGATGAATTCGTTCTATGATAAAAACCAATCTCCAGATTATGAATATTTTTCAAGATCAGGAATTATCATTTACAAATATCTATACAGTATGATACTAATCTACGTTGTCAACATTTTATTGCTGTAGGTAACTTATGAAATGACTATTTCTTCTTAAAACTACCTACGCATTACTGAAGCACGTATGTAATCACTGAACAAAATGATTAGTGTTCAATCAATTTATTAATGTTCATTCAAGTTAATGTTAGGTCTGTTGTACGTTCTCTATCCTTGTTCAATCCCTATCGACTCTTTTGTGTATTGTTTTATACTACTTATTAATATTGAGTAAACAATTGTTTTCCCAAAAACTACGCGTATGTTGTAACGCAAGTTTGTCGTGTAATATTCTAAAATATTTACATATGCTTATAACATTTATTGTGTTTATCATTAAAATTACTTTCTCTCAATCCTTGTAGCAGTTATTTGCAATTTTGTGCAATCACTGTTTAAACGCAACAGTTTCCATATTGTTTGCTATCGGTTCAGCTTTTTCATGTTGCTAAACTGTTACCAAGTTTAGACACAGCTAACAGCTGTCATTTGCACTATCGTATGTTATAATTATTCTTTATGTAATTAATGGAAGAAGCCTTTTTTACAGACTTACAGATCCGGTAAGCGCCACAGATACCTCACAAATTAAGGTTTGCAACTAATTTATGTATATTATTCAATAAAACATCGCTTTTTTTAGACAACTCGTTGATTTGTGAATTTCGATTTCACGTGTATCTCAATTGAGTGGACCAGACGCTTAGATAGATTTAACAGTTAAACTAATAAAAATGTGAAAACATTTGGAAATAAGGGGTTTTTAAGATAATAATTTGAAAATACCTATGAAAACAACTTGCCTTGTGTATATTTTAATCTGCGACATCGTAACTACAAATCAAAAATAAAGTGAGGTAATTCGACATGTGCTACAAAGATGGTTGATTCAAATGCTTTTCTATATAAAAATCGTATGTCGAATACACTGAACTTTAGAATATGACCATAATTTTAAGATTACCAAATTCGTTTTAAACAATTGCTAATGAGATTTTCCCTAACTTACTTAAATACATACTTACTTACGCCTGTTACCTCTCGTGGAGGAGCATAGGTCGCCAACCAGGATTCTTCATCCAACTCTGCCATGGACAGTCCTTCTCAGTTGTTTCCAGTTGCTAATCATCCTTTTGATGTTTGCATCCAATTTTCGGCACAGTGTGTTCTTTGGTCTTCCTCTCTTACACTTTCCTTCGCGATTCCAAGTTAACACTCGCCTCGTGATATAGTGAGGTAATTTCCTCAATATGTGTCCTATCAACTTGCAAAATCTTTTCTTAATTCCCACTTCAGCTGGAACCTGGTTTGTTCTCTCTCAAAGTTGCTTGTTGCTGATGGTATCTCGTCAAAGGGCAATGAGTATCTTACGTAGACAATTGTTTATAAATACCTGTACTTTATTGATGATGGTCGTACAATAGAACTATCTGGACGTTAGTATTGAAGTTTCTGACTTTAACATTAGTTGATAGTTGTTTCTATTTCCATATGTTCTTCAGCTGTAGGAATTCTATCTTTGCTTTGCTAATCCTCGCCTTTACGGCTGCATCAGATTCTTCACGTACATCGTTGATACTGACCAGATATGTGAATGTTTCCACCTCTTCCAGAGCTTCTCCATCAAGTGTGATTGTGTTGGTGTTCTCTGTGTTGTATTTCATCATCTTGTTTTATCCCTTGTGTATGTTGAGGCCTACTGCTATAGAGGTTGGTGCTACAATGACAGTCTTCACCTGCATTTGTTTATGTGTACGAGATAGAAGGGCCAGGTCATCTGATTTTTTTTAAAAAAAACTTTTCAAAAAAAAAACTATGTCTGCACGATTATTAATTAATCGTATTTTAATAAAAAACACACATGACATAATTCCTTACTGATGTGTTCATTATTTTTTCAAAAAAGAACAAACTGAATTGTTATCATGAAACGTTTAACAGGATGTGTGAAATTCGTATTTTACTTCAATGTGTAACCGTTTATTCACTTTGAAAATTACTGTTTAAATTTATAAATCAGTGCATAATTTGATGTGTTTCTTCAAGTAGCCAAATACAAATAAGCCATACAGAAGGTCATTCAAAAAATTGTCAACCACTTACATGGTTATAAATTACCTGGACGAAACAGTCAACAGAAACATGCTACAAAACCTGAAAAGTCATACAGTCAGAAGAAGAGTCACTAGATGTGACTAACTTAACCCTTGTGTAATATTTAGAAAGAGCTAATAATACTGTTCATAATGACAACGATAGCTTTGTAATTCAAACCATTTAGGTTATAGAATTTAAAACTACCAATAGCATTTACTTTAACCTCTGCTTCATGTTGGAAATCTATATCTTTATTATTATGCATTCGTCACTTGGATATCATCTATGTGTCCAGATGGTAAAGGATCATTGAAAAATTAATAGGAATTAAACTTGTAGAAAAAATCTTTAATCACATATTGCTGTTAATTAGTTGAAAACTATCAATAAAAACTTTAATTGAACTCAGTTTTATGTTAGTTAAAACTCTTCATCATCTGCGATATTGAGAAAAGTGTCAGTTTCTGTGACAATCAATCATGTTTCACTTAAATTCACAAGCAAACCCGTTACAACTAAGCAGTTTCGGACACGACTGAGATTTTACTACTTATTCATCACTGAAGTGCATTCATTATTACGCCTATCCAATCTTTACATCAGCCTTAAACACAAGTGCCTACATATTTATGATTATCTCATTTCCTTGTTTTGGTTAGAAGACGTGAAGAAGCAAATGAAGAACGAAGAAGATTATTACACTGTTAACAGTTCGGCTTTCCAGATGTTGAGTACAAACATTAAATCCTGGTAGGAGTTATTATTTGATTTATGAGTTTAAAACAAAGAAAATATTGGAATCGACTCCATAGATTAGTTATTTCAGAACATATATATATCTCTGGAAAAACTTATTTTTAATCAGAATCAACTTTAAGTTTATAATGTCAGAATCGTTCGTTTGATTTCAGAAGATAGATCACCCGATCAAAGTAGGGTTTAATTTGTTAGTTCAAAGTGACTGGATGGAAAACTTGGACCTACGTTTCTACAGTGATCCATATAATTCGATAAGCATAAAGCATTAGACAAACAACACACTGGTTAATACTCATTTACTAGTCATTGTATATAATCTAGTCCAAAAGAAGGTCATTTGCAACCGGAACAGCTAGGTAGTGATATCTCTGATTATGACAGTGGGTGAACTCAAACTGCACGAGGTATATCATTTCTTCAAGATTGAAAATACCTTTTGCTGTCAAGTGTCAACTCGGATGAAACCTGTGTTCAAACCATCAGCTAATATCTAAACACGATCCACATGATGTTGGTTCACTCAAACTAGTGGTCGGTCACATTGTAACTTGATTTATGAAATCTGACCAGAACTATAGTATAGGTAAACCACTGTGCAATCAATTGGCATGAAAAGTGAAGTGTCGTTGTAAATTTGATAGCATGTGTTACACACTTTATCATTTTATATCTCAATAATATCACATATCTAAAGAAAAAGAGAACTACAAAAATGTGATGATTATAATGATCTTAACATAATTTATCGAATATGATTCACTAAACTCATCCAAAAATGACAAAGACTCAAGGTATTGCCATTTTTTCTTTATCTAAATTTATCAAGAGATCAGGATATATGAGGATTACTTATTTCTGTAAATTTTTCGATATGAAAATCATAATATTTGTATGCTAAAAAAAGAATGGATAGCTAGATTGGAATACTCTTTAAAATACACAGAATATTAGCCAGTTTAGTAAGGGGTAGGTCATACGCTTTATAAATGATAATTGACTGATTGCACCATCACGGTTTATTAAAATGATATATTATTGTGTCACTATAATCCTATTATCTTTTAAATCAAACTAATCAGGGTGAATGTATTTTCAGAAGATAATTCATTTTTGAAAGTATAGTTCCAGGTTAATCTGTCGTTTAACTTTAAAAACTGAATGACATTTTTTGGTATTTGTAAAGACCCGAAATTGTTTCATGTTAAAAATCGCTAGTTAATATTTAAATTGATTCATTAACAGTTTCGTACAATTTAAAGAGAACATTATGATTTGATTATAAAAGGCTAAATTTAAACTGTCGAATTAATGATTTCAAAAGTTAAGACATCTAGTTTTATGACTCATGATCTCAACCATTGAAATTACTCTATTATCCACAAAACTCCTTCTGATAGTAATCAACATGTGCTCACTAGTGACTGGCTTCAAGAGGTATATCCTGGAGTTCTAATGAGAAACAGTGACCAGTGGAGTTCAACTGTGTCTGTTGTGAGACAGTAACCCAATGAAGAAAATGGTGGATGTGTCGCTCAATTTCGTGGATTAGTTGAAGTTAGACATTAACACCGTTGGATGCCGGCCGACTCAGTGGTCTAGTGGTTAAGCATTCGCGCGCGAGACTGTTAGGTGATGGATTCGAATCTCGCGACGAGAGGCGGCATCGTGGATGCGTAGTGCTGAGAAGTCGCACAATAGGACGAAACGTCATGCAGTGTTTGTAGGTTTTCCATGGTGGTCCAGCTTCAATTGACTCATGATCTCAGCCATTAAAATCACTATAATATCCACATAACCCCTTTTGATATCTAGTTTTATCTAGTAATAAGTAGTTATATGTGGACCGATGAATCCTTGAGATAATAACGACTTTTTATGAGACTTCAAGTTTCATAGTAAGCTGACTGTATACTATTATCCGTCAATAATCCCAATAATTTACTTAGTCTATGAAAATGATAATTTTAATCAAATACTATAGTATGCCATTGGTTGTAAATTTCGATACATCATATATCGTTATAGGCGTGATATAGTTTTACCCAAACACCACTAAACGTTTTAATAAATGCTTTCGTAATTGTTTTTTTCACAGTCATGTGATTGTGTTGGATACAGTTTTGGGAGAGTCACATTCTTTCATACTTGGAACCAAGAAAAAAACATGAATTCTTTTTAGGGATCATAAAAATTAACACTTTTCTGTTTGTTTGTTTTTTATTAAGATCTTTTAAGGTCTTACTTCATTTTCTATTAAATTAACGTTTTAAAATTTATCCTGATAATAATCGATTCGTCTACCTTCATTTTTTGTATGCCTAAAACTTGAACTGATTAAAAGATAACAGGTTTCTCTTGTAACGAAATCTCAGTCAGCGGTTTCATTCTATTTGATTGATATTTGAGTACATAGAGAGCCACAGTTCAACTTTATATCAATATATTTGAAAGAAATTTATAACATTCGACATGTAAATTGACTAGTGACTACATCGAATAGTAAAATGAATTGTCTGTTGTTGTATTTTTCTTTGAATAATCCAATGAATAATTTATGAAATGATTTGGTAACCATCTATTTGTTTACCTTCAAACTATGGATTAATCTACAATCATCATTCATAAAAGTTATTCTATAATTATGATCATAACAAATCAATGAACTGATTTTAATCATCAACTCAATATACTCATACTTGTAACAATCATAGAGATACCAGTATAAAGATGTCATGTTTAAATATTATGGATAATTTCTGTAAAATTCAACTACAATCTGTGCAAATCCATAAGATGTATTCAAATAATAATAATAATAATAATAATAATAATAATAATAATAATAATAATAATAATAATAATAATAATAGTAACAGTATTAACTACATTACTGAAACAAAAATCAATAAAAAGGAACAGGGACAAAAAATAGAATTATAATTAATAATAATTGTAACAGGTAAAATAATACAAACAAACAAAAAATTACCCAAATATACCTCATTGAATGGATTATCAATAGATGCATAATTAATAACAAATACTGGATTATTTATTTCATTAAGTTTTGCACTCCATAAATAGCATACATAGGTAGCACCAATTAAAAATAATATCATGAATAAACATTTTAACGGTGAATTGATGAATGATGAGAATAACATTTCGAAAATTCTAAAATGATGAAATATTGAAAAATAAAGATAAATTATATATGATTGTATTTGTTCTTTTTTGAAAAAAAAAAAAAACAATAATCAATCCAACATAAAGGAATACCTAAATGCTATGTGTCATATTACAGGCATCGGTGAATAAATCGATTGATAAAATCATTTATTAGTAATTTTAGCTAATCTATATCGGGTAGAGACAGGTATCTACCTCAATACAATGAAAGATGGTTGTATAATTTCGTGGATTGGTTGAGGTTAGACATTAACAGCGTTGGATGCTAGCTCAGTGGTCTAGATGTTAAGCGTTTGCCAGCGAGACCAAAGGCCTTGAATTCGAATCGCACGTAAGGGATAGTGGATGTGCACTTCTGAGGAGTCCCATACTAGAATGAAATGGTCATCCAATGCATCCACATTTTCAATAGTGGTCTAACATCAATCGGTTCATAATCTCAATCAAAAAGTAATTTTAGTATTGACACATTTTGTATTTATGTTGATAAGGCTTATTAAACTGGTTCATCAGGTAATAAGTTTATATACATGCATTGTTTTACAAAACAAAAAATCATAAAGGTCGTAGTTACTATAAAGTCGTGTTTTATTTTATGAGATAAATATTATTTTATTAGGAAAGCATTAACGTGTATCTCAGTAATTTAATTGGATTTGTTTGATAAAACCATATTTTTAATATTATTGATAATCAGTTCCTGAATTTTATAGTTGATGCATAATATAGTCTTAATCTTCAGTCTTATATTGGTTAGTGAGGATATCCGTAATGCATTTAATGGTGAATTAATATGTTGCTACCCCGTCTTGAACCTTTCCAATGTTACGGTCAGAAGCCTCAATAAAGCAGGAGAATATGACGTGTGGTTAGCAACCACATATCGTAGAAAAGAACTTTACCAACAAAACACCAACCTTATAAAATCATTTCAGCCACTTCAACTCTCTTCGAAGTCGAATGATCTTCATATAGAACTTTTATAAGGCCTCGTGACAAAAGCATAAATTCTTGGGAAGTAGCAATGCCGAGGCTTATCTTGACAACAAGAATAACAACCAACATAGTTACATGAAATGTCTGGACAAAGTGAGAAATCAAGTGAGTAGCTGCAGGAATAAGAAAATACAACCTGACCGACTTTCAGGTAGGTGAAACTCGTTGGACACAGGCAGGGAAGAGAAGCTTAGTTTCTAGAGGAACGTTGTTAAATTCGTGTCATGAAGAATAAAATACAGAAAAACGTGCTAGCACTTGTAGTGAAGATGTCTAGGAAAATATAAAAATCGTTTATAGAGTGGGGGTTTCACCACTTCACGATTACCAAAGTATCCTTCAAAACAGAGAAGGAAAAGAGACTGAAACGAATGTCAGCCGGTTCAACAGGCTTATCAATGATAGATAGCGAGAGTACAAAGACCAATTTTCTGATAGGCTAGAGTTCATCGTCGGGAAGTGTTCAACGAGAAAGCTGACCGTTCCGATGGGAAACCTGAAAGGCAAGACCACCAGCGGTGACGAACTGTTGGAGCATAAGAAACAGCCTCCAGACTGAAAGGGGATTACGATATGATGTTGGGGATGGATTAAAAACACTTTATTGCACCCATCAGACTGTATTACAAAGCAATCTCTAACCTGAAATATTCAAGTTAAAAAGGAAGGAAATAGACTGAACAACACGCGGAGCTGGTAATTGCACGCTGAGATGTAACAGATTTATGTAAGTAATTATCAGATATTTTATCCGGAGCTGTTGACCATTTTTCTACTTATTCACTGGCTAGATAGTTCAGAACTTCGCCTGCAGCCCTTCTAAAATTACTGCTAGTCCTAAGCCCGGATAAAGAAGGAGGGTTGGTCAGGTGGTCAGCATCTCCATCTAGTAGAAAACAACTCTAAAGAAAAAAGCGCTAACCAGAAAAAATTAATTTAGCCATTTTAACTGTGACCTGGAAATTGAAGGATCTTCATTTACAAGAATTGTGAAGCCTCATTGTGACAGTCGAGATTCTTTGAAAATGACGATGAAGAGAGGTGCTGATATACTGCCACATCACTAGCTGGTTGTGGTCAAGATGAAACTGAAACTTATGAAACAATGAACGGTTGGGGAAACAGCATTACAAAGGTTTAATACGGTCTCCCATTCATTTACTGACAAACTCATCGAATTCAAGATAACTCTCAACAACAGGTTCGAAGTCATACAAGATCTGCTGAAAGAAGAAAAAACTACTATAGAGGACAACTGGTAGGAAATCAAAGAAGCACTGAATTCAATGTGTCAGGAGGTTCTAGGCTGCAAGAGCCATCATCATAAGGAATGGATCTTCATGGAAAACCTAGACAGAATTCAAGAAAGGAAGAACAAGAAGACCGTAATTAGCAACAGTCGCACAAGAACAGGGGTAGTGAAGGCACAAGCTGAATACACTGGCCCAAACAAGCAAGTAAAGCGGAGCATTCGAGCTAACAAGTAGAAGTATATGGAAGAGCAAGCATTGACAGCTTAAAACACTGCAAGAGAAGGAAATATGAAAGAACTATGTCAGACAACGAAGAAACTAGTAGGAAAATTTAGTAACCAAAAAGATCGGTAAAAGACAAAGAAGTCAAGACAATCACTGAGATTGAAAAGCAATTGGACAGGTGAGCAGAGCACTTTGAAGAACTCTTAAAAAGATCAGCACTACTGAACCTATTGAACATCGAAGCAGAACATACAGACCTTCTTATAGGTGTCACTCCACCAACGATCGAAGAAATCAGGATGGCTATGAGACAGATCAAGAATGGGAAAGCAACGGGATCAGATGACATGCCAGATAAAGCACTGAAGTCAGACACAGGGGTAGCTGCAAACATGCTTCACTTTCTAATCAAGAAGACTTGGTAGGATGAAGAATTACCGACAGATTGGAAAGAAGAATAACAGGCATATTATTATACCGAAAAAAGTAGATCACAGAAAGTGTGAGAAATACAGAGGCATCACACCATTATCGGTATAAGGACGAGTTTCCAACAGAGATCAATAGAGTGAATTCCGAAGGGATCGATCGTGTACATACCGAATCACGACACTACGGATGACTGTTGAGCAATCAGTTGAGTGGTGTTTGTCACTATACTTCGGCTCTCTGGTCTACAGGAAAGCGTTTGACAGTGTGTATAGGGGAATTTTATGGACCCTTACTCGACACTGTGGTGTACACAAGAACATTGTAGATATCATCGGGAATTCGCACGACAGACTACACTGCGAAGTGGTGCATCTAGGACAACCGACAGATGCATTGGAATTGAGGACTGGTGTCAGACGAAGCTGTCTGCTCTCCCCCTTTCTTTTTCTTCTGGTGGTTGATTGAATTATGAAGACTTGCACATTTCAGCTGAAGCACGGAATACAATGATCAGCTTGGATGAAACTAGATGAATGGACTTGACAGTTGATCCAATTTTTCTATCCGAAACACACCAACAAATGCAGGTTAAGACAACTAGTGTAGCGGCAGCTTCTGTAGCAGTAGGCCTCAGCATAATCGAAGGAATAAAAGAGTTCCTCAAACCCACCACAGAGGACACAAATTCAGTCACACATGATGGAAAAGCTCTGACATATGTGGAATCTTTCATGTATCTGGTCAACAGTATAATCGATGAAGGAGGAAGATCGGATGCAGGCGTAAAGACGAGGATTGGCAAATCAGTGGCAGCATTCCTACATTTGAAGAACATATGGAACTCAAAACAACTGTCAACCACTAGTCTTTCAATCTACCGTCTGCTATACTTACATTGTTTCATAAAATAAATTTATTATGCAAAAGTAAATAATGTTAATCTACAAGTCGCTTGAATTCGAATTTCGTAGAATCATTAAAATGCATTTGAATTGTATTGAGCATTATCGGTGTACATCATACGTAAAGATGAACCCAAGGGTTCCAAAATCTAGCAGTTGAATTTCTTGTCATTCGCTGACATAAGCATCTGCTGTTGAGCTATCGTAATCATTACGAGTAATCAAGTAATAGCAGGGTAAAAATTTTCATCCTTTCCTGAATCTATTGACATAAAAAATGATGTCAAAGTCAATATATATATGTATATATCGTTGAGAGATTTAGTGACATTACTATAATGTTATGATAATTTTCGTCAAAGGTTAACTCCACTTTGAATACTACTCAAATGAAAGAGCACTGGGCAGATTTCCCTTTCCAGTTTGCTATTCTTTGGTTTCCAAGTTCTGCATATTTCACGCATATATTTTTAAAAGATTTTTTATTTCTCTATCTCTTTCTTAATTTTGCTGGTCTTACACCTCGTGAGTTTGTTTTCAGTTGTAATTACATCATTAGTAACAGTTAATTCTTTTACTTTTAGCCAGTCTAACTGATGAACATTTTACTGTAATAGCAGATATGTGATAATAATTATAAAGTTCTGATACTGGTGAGCACGAATATCCGAAACACATTTCGTTGTAGTGGATTAAAAATTAAATCACAATACCTATGATGAATCGAATGATAAAAATCAATATAGTGTATCAGAGTCTACAAAAATCGTTTAATACAAAACCATGATTCGGCTTTACAGAGTGTCTTCTAACTACAAATATCTGTCAGATCTATCCACACTTTAAGAAATATGATAAAATTTCTCGAAGAGATATAGCTTGATATTAAGAAGTATTATTGAAGCATTATCAAAAATGTTTTGGTGCTAGAAATTATCTAGTGAAGATATAAAGACTTGCTTTTTCAATCAAATAGTTTGTTATGAATCTGTGAAATAACGTAGTAAACTAATCACACTTCTCTAAGGTACCCACCTTTTCTTACATCAAGTGCAAAAACCATTCTTATCAAGCTATGATAAACATAGTTTATTCACTCGCAATTACCACCAGAGGTCAATAACAAATATAAGGCATTGAAACAGTTAACGTTATTTACATCACAAAAATTATGTTA